TACTATTGTTCCCAGTAAACTGCGAAGCGACCGTTTTTTCGGCTGTTTGTCAGTGACAGTTTTGTCAATTACGAAGGACATATTTGTGTACTTCGTGATCACAATTTGTTGCAAGCGGCGTGTGAAAAACTGCAAGTTTCAGTTTGACAGTTCTGACAGTTAAATGGTTTCTAATTTTATTGTCCAATCAGGTGCGTAGTTTTGATTCAAAATTGAGAACTACGCTCCTGATTGGACAATAAAATTAGAAACCATTTAACTGTCAGAACTGTCAAACTGATACTTGCAGTTTTTCACACGCCGCTTGCAACGAATTGTGATCACGAGGTACACAAATATGTCCTTCGTAATTGACAAAACTGTCACTGACAAACAACCGAAAAAACGGTCGTTTCGCAGTTTACTGGGAACAATAGTATCTCAAGCACACCAATAAAGGCAATATAACGTAAGGAAACCAGATTAGGGTCCAGTGTGGGCTCCCCAGACTCAAATTTAGATAACTCAGGGAAAGGTTAGGGCCCATTAGTATATGTTACAATATGCCTTGATAACACTGACCGTGATATTTATGGACGTTCGTTCTTTCTTAACCTTCCCGACAGGCTCTTTGACCGTGAAAAGTATCATAGGAGCCACAATGAATCCTGGGATAGCTGCGATCCAATACACCCAACGCCAGCCCTTGCCATCAATGTTCGCGTCTACGATAAAGTTCCCCAGGGCATACGATAAACTATACCCGATATAGATTCCCCAGTTGTACACACCCATGGCCGAGGCTCGAAGAGTCTGGAAAACATAAGACAATAGTGATTAACACGTGATTCATGTCCAGTCCACCTTAACAATGCTCCGTCGTCATACATGGGTCGTAAGGTGACAGCCAGACGTACGGTCTAGTAACACTTACGCCTGTATTCTAAAAGCTCCCTCACACTCAATGAGTGGAAGTTCAATCTGAGCTTCTCTTGAGTGTCAATGTTGTTTTTGAATTGCTGCAGCGTGAGTAGTCACATAGTAAGGTACGACACTAACCCTTCAGCTATTCAAAAACAGCAATGACACCGAGAGAAGCTCAGATTGAACTTCCATTCATTGAGTGCGAGTGAGCTTTTAGAATACGGGCGATAGACTTGCCCATGGGAGTTGCGTCCATAGAAATAATAGAGATATATTATTTCTAAGGCTGCATCCGTCGTAATTTAGTTAACAGCTTCATGTAAAGATGATCAACAACCCCTAACTTTACTTTTAAAATAGTTTTACCTCGTCAAAATAATCTGCGATCAAACTGCTTGCAAACGGCGTACAGCCTGCCTCCCTAGAAACAAAAACAAAATGTATCCATTTATACTTGTTGAAACACAATTTGCTTAAATTTATTGACGCTAGAGAGAGATAGCTCTACCAGTTCTAAACTGTTCTTCCAAGAGGTCCAGTAAGGATCATCTCTTATTGATCCAGTGTTACTACAGGAGGAAACCTAAACTAAACTAACTCTATTTATACTGGATAGCTCTATCAGTTGTTTAGAGATCTAATGTTAATATAAATGTCTCTTACGCCATGCCAAGTATAAACCTGGTCACCACCAAATGCCAATACTTGGTTGCAAAGCCAGATAAGAGAGTCATGATACTCCATAACATGAGACAAGATGCTAATATCATACACCGCTTGTTACCACCACCCAGAAAGCCCAGTGGAATACCAGTGATGGTGTAGACCAGTATAAATACTGGCCCAGCTAGGATCTGGTATTGTTCACCCGTCCCGTCATAATCCCAGCGACATGGTAACGTTGTATTGTATTTTCCTGTGCCAGACTTTGATAAACATCTGAAGAAAGAAAATACTTAAAAAAACACCCCTTTCACTTTAGCCGTGCTGTCTGATCAGACATGGGGCGTATGGGAGGGGGGGGGTAGCCTTAGCCTAGAGGCACCATTAGCCCTATTCACATTAGAGACGGACAAGTCGTCTAGACGAACAAATCGTCTCTCAAAAATCACAGACGGACAAGTAGTCGAACAAATTCAGACGACTTGTTCGTCTAATATTTTGTCCGACACGTTTTCACATCTGATGATTTGTCCGACTAAAAGACGATTTTGAGACGATTTTGAGACGATTTTGAGACGATTTGTTCGTCTAGACGACTTGCCCGTCTTGTAATGTGAAAACGGCTATTGAACTGCGTCATGAAATGCAGCATTCATCTAACATAAAATATTAACACCGTGTACAGTGAATTTTGCTTATACTACACTGGAGTACTGGGTTTGAAATATCAATTTATTACAACATCAAGAGACTTCAATATGTCTTACAATTGTATGCAAGTTATACAAGCGTGTGTAAATTACAACATAATTGTATTTTTAATTATATTTTTCATTTATAAAATGGTCAGGATTAATACGTTAATGTAAGGTGTATATATTTTTCTTATTATTTAATCTTATTTAACCTCGTGCTTACAAAAATATTACATGCTTAGAAACTACAATTATTTACAAAATTATATCTAATACTTATTGTGTTAGTTTCTAAGCATGTAATATATTTGTAACAGATATGAATTAGTGAATCATTTCTCAATTCTGTTTATTTGCCTCCAAATCCAGTTGACCGCCATCTGCTGGACAGTGCTTAATAGTGAAACCCACATATCATTCAGTGTCACATAATGATCTATGGGGTCCACTATATATTAGCGCAGATATCTACAGTGTTTTAACTTGTCCATATCATTCTCTGTATTTTTGTCTTTCTTATCATGCACATAAAAATCCCTTGGTATCCCTTGAAACCTCAATACATGTTCACGATTGTCCATCCATGCCACGTGCCGTCCCCCACCCCCCTGACGCTTCCGCTTCTTCAGTCGTTTCTTCGACTCCTCAGCTACATGGACGGGGGGGACTACCAATGTATATATACTTTGTCTTTCTGGGTGGATGGGCATCGGTTGGTACACCCACGATTTGTTACGACGATTTCCCAGATGAGAAATTTCCGACGGTAAACTCCGACTGTGTGCCGATGAATTCCGACCATGTGCCGATGAATGTCGACTCCCTACCGAGGGTGGACGATTATGATTCCGATTATTCGCCGAATAATTCCGATAATGGAGCGGTGCATTCCCGTTATTAGCCGATGAATTCCGACTACAAGTTCGGAAACTTGCCCTGGACGATGTAATTCTGGTGGAAAAGATTTCATTTTTTGCGTACAAGTCGTCTCCGTCTTTCTGTACATTACACGTGGGTTTTGTTTCAAATTCTTCAGTCCTCCTCCCAATGTCAATGTCAGCCCATTTACCATCAAAACCCGCTGACTT